AACATTACTGCTACCCCTTCCTTTGCTCTAACACTCTCAGATACTCCAGATTTAATCCCATTTATTTCCCCCCACCGAAACTCCCCTACCCCCTTCAGCTTTGTGACTTTGTCAATGGTCCAAGTCGGACCGAAACGTCGTCGTAAGCTTCTCTCTTTTATGTGCGGGTTATTTGTGTATGGAGGGAATATTTTGAGGAATTGTTAAATGTTGATGAAGATATGGAAGCTGTGATTTCGTGTATAGAGCAAGGAGGAATAACATCTTGTAGGAGTGAGGAAGAGCCAGTTGTGAGTGTGGGGGAAGTTCGTGAGGCAGTAGGTAAAATGAAAGGGGGTAAGGCAACCGGGATTGATGGGATAAAGATAGAAATGTTAAAAGCAGGTGGGGATATAGTTTTGGAGTGGTTGGTGCAATTATTTAATAAATGTATGGAAGAGGGGAAGGTACCTAGGGAAATTTGGGAGAGAGCATGCATAGTTCCTTTGTATAAAGGCAAAGGGGATAAAAGAGTGCAAAAATTTTTAAGGGGATAAGTCTGCTGAGTATACCTGGTAAAGTGTATGGTAGAGTTATTATTGAAAGAATTAAGAGTAAGACGGAGAATAGGATAGCAGATGAACAAGGAGGCTTTAGGAAAGGTAGGGGGTGTGTGGACCAGGTGTTTTTCAGTGAAACATATAAGTGAACAGTAATTTAGATAAGGCAAAGAAAGGGCTTTGTGGCATTTATTATTTTGGAAAAAGGTGTATGACAGGGTGGATAGGGGGGCAATGTGGGAGAGTTGCAAGTGTATGGTGTAGGGGGTAGGTTACTGAAAGCAGGGGAAGAGTTTTTTACGAGGATAGTGAGGCCAAGTTAGAGTATGTAGGAAAGAGGGAAATTATTTCCCAGTAAAAGTAGCCCCTTTGACAAGGGGTGTGTGATGTCACCGTGGTTGTTTAATATATTATTAGATGGGGTTGTAAGAGAAGTAAATGCGAGGGTTTTTGACAAGAGGGGTGGAGTTAAAAGATAAAGAATCACACACAAAGTGGGAGTTGTCACAGCTGCTCTTTGCTGATGACACTGTGCTCTTGGGAGATTCTGAAGAGAAGTTGCAGAGATTGGTGGATGAATTTGGTAGGGTGTGCAAAAGAAGAAAATTAAAGGTGAATACAGGAAAGAGTAAGGTTATGAGGATAACAAAAAGATTAGGTGATGAAAGATTGAATATCAGATTGGAGGGAGAGAGTATGGAGGAGGTGAATGTATTCAGATATTTGGGAGTGGACGTGTCAGCGGATGGGTCCATGAAAGATGAGGTGAATCATAGAATTGATGAGGAAAAAGAGTGAGTGGTGCACTTAGGAGTCGTGGAGACAAAGAACTTTGTCCTTGGAGGCAAAGAGGGGAATGTATGAGAGTATAGTTTTACCAACGCTCTTATATGGGTGTGAAGCATGGGTGATGAATGTTGCAGTGAGGAGAAGGCTGGAGGCAGTGGAGATGTCATGTCTGAGGCAATGTGTGGTGTGAATATAATGCAGAGAATTCGTAGTTTGGAAGTTAGGAGGAGGTGCGGGATTACCAAAACTGTTGTCCAGAGGGCTGAGGAAGGGTTGTTGAGGTGGTTCGGACATGTAGAGAGAATGGAGCGAAACAGAATGACTTCAAGAGTGTATCAGTCTGTAGTGGAAGGAAGGCGGGGTAGGGGTCGGCCTAGGAAAGGTTGGAGAGAGGGGGTAAAGGAGGTTTTGTGTGCGAGGGGCTTGGACTTCCAGCAGGTATGCATGAGCGTGTTTGATAGGAGTGAATGGAGACAAATGGTTTTTAATACTTGACGTGCTGTTGGAGTGTGAGCAAAGTAACATTTATGAAGGGGTTCAGGGAAACCGGCAGGCCGGACTTGAGTCCTGGAGATGGGAAGTACAGTGCCTGCACTCTGAAGGAGGGGTGTTAATGTTGCAGTTTAAAAACTGTAATGTAAAGCACCCTTCTGGCAAGACAGTGATGGAGTGAATGATGGTGAAAGCTTTTCTTTTTCGGGCCACCCTTCCTTGGTGGGAATCGGCCAGTGTGATAATAATAACGATCCCAAATGGATTAACAGGAGGCTAAAGCATCTATTAGGGGAGAAAAGGGGAATTTATAGGCACATCAGAAGAGGAGAGGTTAACCTTACTGACCACTTGTAAGTTAAATGATGTAGAACTTAGCCATACAGATTGGAAAAGGGACTTGGGGGTTGTGGTGAGCAGCAACCTTAAGCCAAGACAGCAGTGCCTAGGCGTACATAATAGGGTAAATAGATTACTGGGATTTATATCAAGAAGTGTAAGCAACGTAAGTCCAGAGGTTATACTGCAGCTTTATATGTATATCATTAGTGCGGCATCACCTAGATTATGCAGCTCAATTCTGGTCTCCATATTACAGAATGGACATAAATTCGTTAGAAAACATTCAGCGAAGATGACTAAATTAATACACAGAATTAGAAATCTTCCTTATGAAGAAAGATTGAAGACTTAAATTACATTCACTTTTAGACGAAGAATGAGGGGAGACATGATCGAAGTGTACAAGTGGAAGATGGGTATTAATAAAGGGGATATAAATAAGGTCTTGAGGATATCTCTCAAAGAGAGAACCCGCAGTAATGGATTTAAATTAGATAAGTTTAGATTTAGAAAAGATGTAGGAAAGTATTGGTTTGGAAATAGGGTAGTTGATGAGTGGAACAGTCTACCTGGTTGGGTTATTGAGGCTAGGACTTTGGGTAGTTTCAAATTTAGGTTGGATAAATACACGAGCGAGAGGGGTTGGATTCGAGTGGGACTTGCATATCAGAGCTTATTTCTTGGGTAGCATTGAAAATTGGGTTGGGCAAATGTTTTGTTAGTGGGATGAATTGTAAAGGACCTGCCTAGTATGGGCCAACAGGCCTGCTGCAGTGTTCCTCCTTTTTTATGTTCTTATGTTCTTAATATGGAGACCAGAACTGAGCTGCGTAATCTAGGTGAGGCCTTACTAATGATGTATAAAGCTGTAAAATAACCGCTGAACTTCTGTTGCTTACACTTCTAGATATAAATCTCAGTAATCTGTTTGCTTTGTTACGTACGCTTAGGCACTGCTGTCTTGGTTTAAGGTTGCTGCTTACCATAACCCCCAAATCCTTTTCGCAATCTGTATGGCTAAGTTCTACGTTATTTAACTGATAAGTACTAGGGTTATGGACACTCCCCAAGCTTCAGAACCTTGCATTTATCTACATTGAACTGCATCTACCACTTTTCTGACCAGGAATTGAGTTTGTCTAAATCCTCCTGAAGTTCCGTGACATGTAAGTTTGAATCAATTATCCTACCTATCTGTGTCATCGGGGAATTTGCTCATCTCACTATTAATTCCCTCATCAAGGTCATTGATATATATTATAAACAACAATTGGCCCAAGACTGATCCCAGTGGGACGCCACTTGTTACGGATCCCCATTCGGATTTAACCCCATTTAAGCATACTCTCTGCTTCCTATTGGTGAACCATTACTCGATCCATGACAGCACTTTTCCCTCAATGCCATGAGCTGCCACTTTAACAGTCTCTGGTGTGGTACTCCATCAAAAGCCTTACTAAAATCTAAATAAACAATATCGAATTCTTTATCATGATCACTGGCCTCAAAGCTTTACTGAAGAAGGTTAATAAATTAGTTAGGCAGGAACGACCCCTCATGAATCCATGCTGAGTATCATTAATCCAGCTGTGCTTATCGAGATGGCTTCTTATATTATCAGCTGTAATTGACTAGTAATTTGCCTACAACTGAGGTTAGGCTTATTGGGCAGTAATTTGACGGTAACGACTTGTCCCCTGCTTTAAATATAGGAATTACATTAGCCATCTTCCACATATCAGACACTACACCTGTTTTAAGAGAAATATTAAAAATATTAGTCAATGGTTCACAAAGTTCCACTTTACACACTTTAAGAGCCCTAGAAAAAAGTTTATTTTGCTTTAACCGGTCTATCTGTTTGATAACCATTTCGCTAGTGGCTGTGATATTGCATAATTTATCATCCTCAGGCCCACTATAAAAATTAATTACTGGGATATTGTTAGTGTCTTCCCAAGAAAAAAAAACAAGAGAAAATAATTAAGAATAGAGCAAGTTTCATTCTCCTTGTCAGTGAGATGCCCAGAGTTATTTTTAAGGGAACCTATCTTATCTCTAACTTTTGCTCTATAAACCTGGAAAAAACTTTTTGGGTTAGTTTTTGAATCTAACAAGTTCACCCAAGTCTTCTGGATGATCAAGGCCCCCCCACCAACACTAAAGCCACCTCTCCGCAACCTTTCGTGGTACTACCCAAACTCTTCATACCCCCCACTCCAAATTTATGCATCTTCATCCTATTCCTTTCCATCTTCTCTTATGCCTAAACACATCAGCAATCCCTGTTCAGCCCTCTGAATTATGCCTCTGGTGACTCCACCAGAGGCATAATTTTCACATTACACATTGATCTCAAAAATAACATCACTGCCGGCTCACTGCAATGTTCAAAACCCACCTATATGAAAGTGTTGGTTCCACTATAATCTGGTACATTTTTTCTCCAGATAAATTTCTTTCCATATGCCTCAACACACCAATGTTTCCCTCTCCTTGTCTTTTATACACATCTGTCTACATATCCACTACCAAATATCTAAATACATCCACTGCCTCCATACTCCCATCCTCCAATCTGATATTCAATCTTTCATTGCCTAGACATTGTTACTTTCATCACCTTACCAATCCCTGTGTTTCCTTAATTTCCAAATTTTATGTACCTTCCTCCACTAACCTATGTAACCTTTCTTCAAAATTTCTCAAATGAAGTCATTGCCATGTGACAATTCCCACTCTGAATCACAACTATTATTTTTGACTCCAAAAAAATTCTTTCCTAAATGAACAAAGGGTTAAATCTGATACACAATGTATATGCAATGGCAACCTTACCTCATTAAGTTCTTTCTTCAGATCTAAAGCTGTCTGAATGCCCTCCAGTCCCTTATCCCATTCTTGCTTGGAAGGAGGAAATACGTCATGAAGAACGACCCGGCCACCACGCTGGTTCTGGTACTGTAAGATAATGATCATAAGTTTAATTTTAGTGACTTCTTGTACCTTATAGTATTTCACCCCAGTGTGGTTATTTCTTATTAACAAAACTTAACTTTTCTGAAAATATAACAATGTAAAATTATATCTAATTTTGATGGTATGAAGCTGCCAAGCAGCAATAACTGATAGTTTAGTTTCAATGTGTTAAAAGACCATCCTCTCTACTTTAACCCTTAAACCGTCCAAACGTAGATATACGTTTGCTCGCGTAGCACTCCGAACGTAGATCGAAGTTTTATTTTTCATTCCTTCAAAATTGGGGCGATAGGCCCGAGTTGCCTAGATACAAGAGAATGGCTCTTAACACACTGTGTGCAGTATTAAAAAAATCTGGGACCACTTAGTACCTTGTGGGAGCACCAGTTCAATTGAGTGCCAACTAGAGCAAATAGCGTGGCAAACACCAGGGATTCACTGATGCCATGTCGCATTAACACTCCCCTTTTAACCCTTTCAGGGTTTCGGCCGTACTAGTGCGACTTGCGCACCAGGGTTTTTGACGTACTAGTATGTCTAAATTCTAGCGCCCTCAAATCTAGTGAGAAAGCTGGTAGGCCTACATATGAAAGAATGGGTCTATGTGGTCAGTGTGCGTGGTATAAAAAAAATCCTGCAGCACACAGTGCTTAATGAGAAAAAAAACTTTGACCGTGTTTTTGGATTAAAACAGCGACTTTGCACTGTATTTTCGTATGGTATTTATTGTTATGGTATCATATGGTGTAATGGCACCATACGGTACCATATGATGCAATTCAAATTCAAAGTTTATTCTCTATAAGGATTACAATGCTGAGTTTACAGAATTTGGTTATTGTGTGGTTTATATGTAGTAAAATAATAATTACAGAGTGTACCACTAGAACACCTAGCATGGCTAGGCATTTCGGGCAGACTTTAATTAAATCTTAAGTTTAAAATATTACAAAATTATGAGGTAAGTTGGTATTATGGCTAAGTGACTAAATACTAGTTTGTGAGTTTAGCAATGTGAATGCTTTTGTTTTGGCACTATACATAGTTTCAGTATTGGAGTATCACAGGCCAACTTATGACTAGTTAAGATTCATTATTTTGAGATTGAGATTGATATTTCTGTTTATGGTCAAATGGGTGAGTGAAAGTGTTAACCACCAGGTGGTATTTGTGTAATTAGTTGACAGGGTGTATCAGGGAGATAAGATGTTTTCTGATGGTAGTTTTGAGGTGATGAATGTGTCTGCAGTTTTAGAATTTTCAGGTAGGGTGTTCCAGATTTTAGGGCCTTTGACATACATTGAATTTTTGTAAAGGTTTAGTCGTACACGGGGAATGTCATAGAGATGTTTGTGTCTGGTGTTGTGCCTGTGGGTTCTGTCGCAACTATCAAGAAAGCGTTTTAGGTCAAGGTTAATATTGGAATTTAAGGTCCTGTAGATGTAGATTGCACAGTAGTAAGTGTGGATGTACTGAACAGGGAGTAAGTTTAGATCTATGAAGAGTGGGGGGGGGGGGTGTTGCCAGGGATGGATTTAGTGATTATTCTTACTGCGGCTTTTTGTTGGGTTATTATTTGGGCCTTAGGGGTGTTGCTGCAGTTGAACCCCAAGCACAGATAGCATAGTGAGGTATGGATATATAAGTGAATGGTATATGTGAGA